ATTTTATATTTTACTACATTGCTCATGGAAGCTTACCCATCATGTAAATCTTGGTAAAATATCATAGCAACTCACGATAATTTTGAATCGAATGTGCTCCTTTTATTCATCGGTGCCCATTATAGAACTGGATTTCATATCTTGCTCTAGATCTCTAAAGCCCTATGATTCTTGGATTGTTGGGAAGCAAAGTCTTCATATTTTGAATATAAAATATTAAGAAATGAATTGGACTTCCCGGGGGCATTTTCTTTTCGCTAAGGATGCCAAGGAAAAGAAATCATATGCCCAGCCATGCTTCTGGTGCTACTTCTACTATGCGGGCATGTGGACGCGCAGGTTGTGATCGGACTAGCCATGGCTTTTGAGACATCTTCGTGCAGTGAGTCTCCTCGTCTCCAGGGGGTAACTTCGAGCTACGATGGCGATTCCGATGTGGCAGCATGTCGAGGCAATGGTGGTTGATCAGCCCTCTTTGATTTACCCATCGGCGAGTTCCGGGCTTCTCCTTCGAAGGAAAACAAAGACTAGCGTATATGGAACTTTGGACATCTTGATTGGAGAGGACCGGTCGTGTGCACCCACAATATCAGCATAACTAGATTCACCGGGTATCGCGAAGCTCTGTTTTTGTTGACACGCTGGGACATGTCTGCACCAAGATTTCCAAGGGATCAACATATACGGAGAATGTCATGACGTGATTGGAGGACCTGCAAGTGGCAAAGACGGGGTCTTGGATGCGATGAAGACTTTGCTCCGTCCAGATCGGGCACGAGTTTCTGTGAGCCTGGTCATACGTGACTTGTAGTAGTAGCCTCCGTAAGTGGGGGCAGCAGCATTGGAGGACTTCTTTGTTGGTAGTGCTCCTTTAAGTACCGAGTCGTGATTTCCAGGGTGAAAACCCAAGGTCTGGCCTTTATTGGTTGTGCCTGGCAGTGGCCTTGTTGAAGGCATTGTTTTGGGAACGCGGCCTTTCTCCAGGGTGAAAACCTACGATCTTTGATCGGGCAACGACAATGTTTGTGCATTGTTTCCTTCCTGTAGGCGTTGCTTTTGGAGAACCTTCTTTGTAGTCCGGGTGTTGTCTTTGGTGGTGGTTAGAGTGCTGCTACTGCGGGTGATTGATCATCGGGGCAGGGTCTTTTTTCTTTTCTTTATTTTTCTTTTTATTTTATTTTTTTGGTTGTGTGCATTATGGATGTTTTTGGTTATCTTGTTGGTGCAGATGCTAGGTGTAATTGATATCTGTTTGATATTAATATATTCCCCTTTTTAAAAAAAATGCACCTGAGGAGACAATTACAATGAAATTAGTAACTTGTTGGCCTACTTTAAATGTTTAATTTTCTCAAATCTATATCCAGCATAACCCAAGAGAAGCCACCATGGTTGGAGCTTTCATTGCCATCCATCCATCTCCTTCCACACCAAAAAGAGAAAGATGGAAAGTACGCAGATATAGCTTCACATGCCCAACAGTAAAACATTAGATACTAAGTATAAAAACACAGTTTAAACAGCACCCAGAGCAACCAAGGGCATCAACACCCACGGCGTGCACCGCGCCGTCCACCCCGCTAGTACATATAAAAAAAATTAGCCACTCACTACAAGAAATATGTCAACTAGTGACCTTCTGTCAGTGATCCTGGAAGAATTGGTCATAGATCTATGAACATTTGAGACCAATTGGTCAAAAGCTGTTCGGGGGCCTCCAAACCCTAAATCACTGCGATCATTTTGGTCAGAAAGGTCATAATTTCCTTACACGAAATGGTCATAAAGCAAACAACGTTGGTCCGCTGCCTTATTTCTTGCTGATCGTGACCAATATAGATGGTCATATCCTTGTAAATTATGGTGGGTTGTGATGACTAGGAGTCATCTCATCAGTTTTGCCTATGTGTCATGTCCATGTGTCAATTTTTGCCTTAGGTTGTGAAGCAACCTATATTTCTGTCATTCAAAAATTCCCAAAAAATCTTATAAATTGTTTGGATCATATCTTCATCAAATATGTCAAAAACCTTCCTTGCCTAGTTCAAAAATATTTCAACAATATTCATTTTCCTATTATGTTCAGAGCAGCACTTTGTGAAGGAAGTACCACTTTGGCATGTCCAAATGGTATCCATTTTCTACAGTGCTTTCCTATGCCCAAATAACTATCCTCCACCAAATGCCAGCTCAATCCATTCATTATTTTGAGCCCAGCTTCAACATTCGTATTTATGTCCAGTATGGTACTTTGCAAAGCAAGTACCACCTAGGCTCCTCCTTTTGAGCTGAAAATTTGTGAAGACGGTCTTCTTAGTAACTGATCATCCTCAGCCAAAACTCACGCCCATTAGCCATGTGCATTTCTCGTACCACAAATCAAACACTTGGCTGCTTATTCATGTTTGAGCATCGATCGGTCTCCTCATGAGAATCTTATGTTGTTATTTTCTTCCTAGCACCTACCTGGGGAGTGCCCAACCCACTAGACATGCCTAGGCCGCCCAGAACACATGGCAACGCCACGGTCATGCGGTGACCACGCGACGGGCATGCGAGTTTACATGCTCTAGAGTTGGGGCCCTCGGCCACAGTCCAAACCTCGACATGTCGCTACCAAACCATGTATTTATGATTAAATAGGTACTTATGTAACTATAAATGATTTTTGGAAAAAATAAATAGCAAACTATGAGGCAGCTGCAGTTCAAATTTGACTCGCTTCCTACTAAATCGGCGGGAATTTGTCTTTTTCACCACAGGTGGATCAAAAATTTTGACACCCAACCATTTTGTCAATTGTGCATTAAATATGGCCTAGTATTTTAGAAAATTGATTTGATCCAATTTTGCAACAAATATATGGTAGGTCCTTCACAAAAAAAACTCATTTCAAGCACTCGGAAAATGGAAAATGAATTTTCCGTGCAAAGAAAATGAAAACTCCCTTAGGCAACGTTGTTTGGAATTCCAAGATGCACCCTTATGCACAATATGAGATCATTTGAACAAACTATGCCATGAATGTGGCCATAAGATTGATCATTTGGCTTGAAAGTCATGAATCTTCACGCATCATAGCCCATTTCTGAGAATACTTTTTTAAAATAATTGTCGTATTACAAGTTTATTATTTTTCCTAGAAAATTGGTCACATATAATGACACAATGCGAAAGTTTTCCAATTTTTTGATTTTTTTGAATTTTTTATGCCCGTTTCAAAATGCGGTCAAAACGGCGGGAATGACCGTTTCTAGCTAGTGGTTGAATCTTGGAAAACTTTTGATGTTTCTCTAATTAAATAGATACTTATGTACCTAGAAATGATTTTTGGAGAAAATAAAGAGCAAACTATGACGCAGCCACAGTTCAAATTTGACCCGCTTCCTACTGAATCGGCAGGAATTTGTCTTTTTCACTAGAGGTGGATCAAAACTTTTGAAACCCAACCATTTGGTCAATTATGCGTTAAATATGGCCTAGTATTTTATAAAAACTATTTGGTCCAATTTTGCAACAATTATTTGGTAGGTCCTTCACAAAAAAACCTCATTTGGGGCACGCGAGAAATGGAAAATGATTTTTTCATCCAAAGAAAATGAAAACTCCCTTAGGCAACATTGTTTGCCATTCCAATATGCACCCTTGTGCACAATGTGAGATTATTTGAACAAACTATGCCATGAATGTGGCCATAATATTGATCATTTGGCTTGAAAGCCATTAATCTTCACACATGATAGCTCGTTTCTAAGAACACTTTTTAAAAGAATTACCGTATTACAAGTTTATTATTTTTCCTAGTAACTTGGTCACATATAATGACACAATACGAAGGTTTTTCATTTTTTTATTTTTTTTTTGAATTTTTTATGCCCATTTCAAAATGCGGTCAAAACGGCGGGCATGACCGTTCCTAGCTAGTGGTTGAATATTGGATTTTTTTGGTGTTTCTCTGATTAAATAGATACTTTTCTACCTAAAATGATTTTTGGAAAAAATAAATAGCAAACTATGAGGCAGCTGCAGATCAAATTTGACCCGCTTCCAACTGAAATGATGGAAATTTGTCTTTTTACCAGAGATGGATCAAACTCTTTACACCCAACCATTTGGTCAGTTGTGCATTAAATATGGCCCGGTATTTTAGAAAAATGAATTGGTCCAATTTTACAACAATTATTTGGTAGGTTCTTCATAAAAAACCCTCATTTTGGGCACTCGAAAATGATTAAAAATAGCTAGAAAGATCAAAAATGCATACAAATTGGTCCTCATCTATAAAATGTTGTCTAAATCTAGTGAAAATTTGTGTGGTGCCCTTTTGCAAAATATTTTTGATAGCTTCTTCATAAAATACCTCAATTTTTAGTACTTGGAAACTATTTTAAATCACTGATTTTCTGAACCAATCAGAACTCTTCCCACGGATCGATGACATGGCGCCCATCCATCCATCCATCCATCTCTTCATCCCACATCCATCCATCCATCTATCTACAAAAAAAAGACATACCCTCACCCGCAGCCCAAACCCTAGCTAGCTCAGATCCCCCCCATCGCACCCCTCCTCCCTCGTCCCCATCTCCTCGCCGCCATCGCCACCTACTGCCCATCCCCTGCACCACTCCTCGTCGCCAACCTATGGTGCCCGATGCCGCCCGATTCCTGCACCCTCCGACGGCGCCCGATGCCCTCCCCTCCGCTCCATCCTCCCCTTGGACAAGATCCGGCAAGCACGTCCCACACATCGACCGCGCCCTCCCACCCACACATCACCGTCGCCACCCACCGTCCCGTCTGACCTCGCTGCCGCCACCCACCGCCCAGTCTGACCTCATCGCTGTTCGCCGCTCCCGGTCTCTTCCCTCCCACACCCGCCGCCCCCTCCCTCTCCTCCTCCCATCAGAAGAGAAGAGGGATCTCGCGTGGATCACACCAGGGCGTCGATCTGGACTTCCGTCTACACGAGGGGACGCGTGAAAGCAGGAGGGGCGACCATGGCGCTCGCATCGGGCTCCGACAGCGGCGGAGGGGGGAGCGACTTCTCCGTGAGGGTGATAGGCTCCAACTTCGCAGTGGACGCCGGCGCGGCGCTCCTCGCCTCCCCTACCGACCGCGAGGTGTGGCACGACTGTGTCCCCGACCTCGGCGACGACTTCTCCGACCTCGAGGAGCTCCAGGTGGTCCGCGTGCAGGGCGCGGACAGATCCGGCCGGCCCGTCATCCGGGTCGTCGGCAAGTTCTTCCCCAGTGCGCCAAACCCCTTCCCGCTGCTTTCCGTCCTCTCCTCATCCTAGGATTTATCGGGTGGTGGTTGGGGATTACTGGTGCGTGTCTAGGGTTTGGTGCGAGTCATTCCATGAATTCTTTGTTGTTAGCTCGTAGTTGCATTCCTTGAGTTGGTATGAAGTGGAAAATGCATGCTATACTTAGGATTTCAGCATATCTATGTCTCAGCAATTAGCTAATTCTACTTTGTTGGAGATGCACCTTTCATGATTGTTCATCTGGATAGTAATCTGCTTTGTCTGTGGCTTCTTTGCTTGTGGTACCATGCCCTATTGGTCTAGTTTTAGGTTTCATGACAGATTCGTTTTGTACTACTTATTTCCCATAATCAGTTGGCAGCATACCATTTTGTAAGGAAACTAGCACAACAGTTTGTATGTTACTTCTTTGCTGGTAGTGGATGATTCCTTTCCATGTCATATTAGCCTGACTTCCCGTTGGATAACCAACCCGCTCTCCTGCCGTGCTCACTGCTGCTATTTAGATTGAGAGAGAGGGGTGCTGATTAGTGTAGTTTGTGATTGAGAGAATGCTTGCTGCTGCTATTTGTGCTTACTGATTGATTATACAGTGATTGACATGCTGCTATTTCTACTTGTTGATGTTATTGTTGCCATCCGATGCATATTGTTGTGATCCGTAGCTTACTGCCTTGCCTGCAGGTGTCATGCCCGCGACCGGGTTCGGAGCGCTCAGATCGAAGGTGGCCGAGCACTGGTACGAGGTCTACAAGATGGATAAGCAGGGGGCCAACCTCTGGTTCATCTACTGGTGGGAGGACAAGGTTTCTTCTGGCTCTGAATGTTAGGATGGTCAATGTAATAGTCCAGTCTGTAGTGTAAGGTTTTGGATTGGAAACTCACTGTGAAGTTTGGCTCTTAGGCTTGCTTTTGCTGCCATTTTTTATTGATGAATGCATTACCTTTTTCTGATTGATCCAAAATGTCATCTTATCTCTAGCGCAATGGGAGTTAAAATGTTTGTTCAGACAATATAGTTTATGCTATGATAATCACTGTATTGTTTGTAGTATGGAATTTGCATTCTGTAATGGGACTGGAGTTTAGCTCTTTGTCTTGCTTTTTCTGTGCCCTAGAGACGAATACATCGGCCCTAGAATAATACCTGCCGCTTTATTAGCACTTCCAAGTAAGCGCCGCTCTCACTGTTGCCATCTACTATGTGTAATTAGGAGTAGGGCATGGTCCTCTTGCTTGTGCTACACAAGGATTTGTACTGCATTGCTACTGAAACTGCTGAAACATGATGCTGCGATTGCCAATTTTTTTGTCTTAATGCCCATCTGTTGTTATTTGCTTGGGGTGTTTTTCATTAAAATACAAACAGTGGCTGTTCTAAAATTCAAGCTATTGAAGAATGATGATAAAATACTTTTTTAAACAGTGGGTCGTGGCTTAGTGTAATTGATGTACCAGTGCATTGCTTGGCGTAAAATTATAGCAGTACACATAGGTATGCAATGAAATGCTTCTAGTATCTTACACATGTATATTTGACATGAATGTGTATTGCCTGGCTTAAAGTTGCAGCAACCATGTGCTTCGATGCGCGGCGCTTCGTCGAACTGGCTGGACCGCGGCAATCCCCGGAGCTGGAGCGGGAGGAGGCGACGAGATGCTGCTACTGCGGTTGCGTCCTCGGAGGCAGCTGCTGCCCCTAGCCGACCTCACCAACCTTCGGTGTCTGCCATGAACTCCGCGCATGACCCCTTCTACATCGTCCGGGAGGAGATCCAGGGCTTGGTAATCCCCCCATCCCCATCCGCCCTCCCTCCCCTGCGCCCCTTTCTCTTCCTCTAGTTGCAAATTTTCATATGATGCAGCTGTTTATTTGGCTGCGCCTTGGCGTACTGTTAGCTGAAAACTGCTTCTGTATTTTCTACTCCAGTACTATGGCTGAGGCAGTGACCAACTTGGTAGGTAGTACTACCTGAGAAAATTCATGATGCTAGCTGGGAGCAAAAACATTATAGGCTTAGTTGTTGTATTGGTTCTGTGGTTGTATGGGGATATATGCATAGATATGTAACATGTGGGTTCCAAGCATGCTTCCGAGAAAAGTAAAATTATATATCCAATTTAAAAATTGTACATCTACCGTTCTTGTGGAATGCAAGTTATTTTAGGTAGTAAGAGTGTGCAGGGCAGGTCATCAAGTGCACGACTGCTAGTTTGCTTACTAGCTCTGTTCTATTGGGATATGTATATGTATGTGTGGATTTTAAGCATGGTTCCTATAGATGTGATAAGTGCATACAATTGCAACTCCTCTTTGTCTGGTATTATAAGGCCATTTGATTGAATGCTTGAAGTGAATGTGCTTCTAAGTCTCATGTAGTTTTAGAAACACATGCATTTATCCATTTCTTTGTCTGCTCTTGTGAGCTCTTCCCATTGGGAAACTTGGCTAGCTGCCCATATCAATTGATGAACTATACTATTATCCACTGCTTTTAATCAGTTGATGATGCATATTCAGTTTGGCTGATTTTGTTACATACATACATACATGGCTTTGTTTTGGTCTGGCAACTCAACTGTGATGCCATTGCTGCTGCTCTGTAGAACTTTTGTATGTTTAGAGCATGCATCCTAATTGTCAATCTTGAGTCTGCACTTCTGTATGTTTTTGATGTGAAACACTTATGCATGACTAATTTTTAAGTTGATACAATTTCTTTAGTAGACAAGCTTGGAAACTTAGACTACAGACTGTTAAACTGCTACTGATTTAGACTGCAAATTTTTTAATCTTAGACTACTGGTTTATCTATGTTTCATATCATGGATTTGATCTGTACCATGCATTACACATGTGTTGATACAATCATATAGCTTATCTGATCAAACAATCTGTTCGTGTTATCTTTACCTGCTGCTCTTATACCTTACCAAAACAAAAATAATTCTAACTAGGAGTAGTTTTTTTTTGTTCAGATTTTGTATTTATTACTGCTCACATATTGTCGTGATTTACTTTTTGTACTGAATAGATCTTTCTGATATTCACAGGTTTTAGCGATCAGCCGTAGCTCTTTCATCCAAGGTGCATGGTGCAACCGAGGACAAGCACTTCATGTCCAACCAAGGTGCATGGTGCTTGCAGTTGACGAATAGGAGGTCTATGAAATTTGAAGTTCAAAGCCGGATAGCCCTACTTAGCAAAGAGTCGTCTCTTTTGTTTGACTGTAATAGACTATAAATATTGTTATATTGTACTCCCTCCGTCCGGAAATACTTGTCGGAGGAATGGATGTATCTAGACATATTTTAGTTCTAGATACATCCATTTTTATGCATTTGTGCGACAAGTATTTCCGTACGGAGGGAGTAATAGTAGGCATATTTGGATTGTAATAGACTATGTACAGATGTAGTAGACTTAGTTAGTGTTATTTGATGAACTACATTTGTACTGTTCCGTTTGAAATATTGATTATGTATGTGATTTGAAAATGTGTGGAATGGAAACCTGACTTTTGGGACCCACTTATGAGAATAATCTGAGCAATTTTGAATTTTCTGTCAAGTGGGCCTAATGTGTGAGAAGATGACAAATGGGACCAGCCCCAAAATATAATGGCCCAAACAATTTTAAAAGGCCCCGACCCAGAAATAAATAAAAGACTGAAATGAAAAAAACAATAAATGGGCTGAATTAATGGGCTCGGCCCATATAAACACCGAATTGGACCAAGTTGATTCTTGTGCCACATCAAATTGCCACGTCGGATGTCTACGTGGCCTGAGGATCTGCTAGTGACCAAAACAAAACAGTAAGCATATTTTGGTCGTAAACGTCTACAACCTTCTCACAGAGAAGGTCAAAAATATCAGTTTACGACGGTCAGTTTTTGACCTTTTGTTTTTGGTCACAAAAATGTCACAAATGGAAAATAATGACCTTTCAGTGACCAACAGCGGTAGTCACAAGTTGACATATTTCTTGTAGTGACTTCCCCTGAAAAAAAAAGAAGAATCAGCTACTTCTACATATATGTATGTGTTCGTGAATACATACGAGTTGGCTCTCTATTGATTATAAGTAAAAAGAGTAACACGGCTTGAAGGAAAATGCAAAAGAAACGGCCGATCAATGTAATCTTCTTCAACAAAAATAAAAGAAAAATCACACTTCTCTAAAGTTGTGTCATGATGTCTCAGCCACATGAATCTTCTCGGACAGCAGGCGCGGTCAACAATCTTCAAATCATTCAAAAAGGTCACATGAATCTTGACTTTTCGTTATGTGTATGATAATTGTTCTACATTAGATCAACCAAACACACAAGGGTCTGAAGAAATACATAAATGATGCAAGCTCCTCGCATGCTCGACGAATTAATTGTTTCTAGGTTAAAAAAAACACAAAACAAGAAAATAGGAGAAGCATGACCAAAACAAAACTTGGCTAGAGATCCGGAGGGAAAAGCCACATGGGAGGATATTTATCACCTCCGGACACATAGTGCCCCACTGACGTGACTCCCTCCTCATCTTTGTCAACACTTTCATCTTTCTTGTAGTACACATGGCAACCATCACTATCCATACTCGTCAAGAACACCTTGGCGTCGTCGGGCAAACAATCTTTTTGTGGGTAGCAACTATGGTGGGAGTAGTAGATGTGGTTTCTCTCCGGACTTCCATGCTCGCACGTCGACACATACATTGCCTTGGAGAACGTCGGCCCCAAGAATAAGGCTTGGTCACATAGGCTCTTCACATGTTCCAATTTATACGCGCCATGTCCGACATCAACTAACTCGAAAGCCACGAAAAAATGCCCCCTATTGTTGGGTGACCGCCAATCCCACCCTCTTTTCTTCCTCATCGCTATCATAATCTTGCCACCTAGCTCGATAATATACACGGCACGCTCATCTGGACCACCATCACCCTGTAAGTACAACCACCGGTCTTGTATATCCAACCATTGAGGATCACCTTTGAACACGCCATTTTTGGTTAAGCCGACCTCAAACCTAACGATATTCATCGTTTCTAATATGAGGCAATAAAGATGGCCATTGCAAAAGGCAATATCCAAGACCGTCCTCCCAACAAATCCTTGCGGCGCCCATGCAGACTTCGGGCGGCCAAGTCCACAGATTGCGACTTCTGACCTACCAATGATGGCAGCAAGGATACAACCGCTCGAGGTGGGCGGCTCGGAGAATATTACCTTCAGTGGAACAAACAGGCTGGCGCGCGGGCGTAAACAGATGATACTCCTTTGCTTCGCCGAGAGCGGCACCTCAACACCAGAGAAAAGGTTCACTATCCTTAGCGGAGCTTCCGAGATGGCGGCCCATCCACCATCGTGGCTGCCAACGATGCGCCCGCCAACAGCCTCGCCCGGAAACCAGAAGCACGACAGGATGGTGCCGTCCTCAACGCAGTAAGCGTGCTTCCCCTTATCATTGCTCCCCGGATTAAGGATCAGCCACGGGTGGACACGTCGCTGCGGGTGCGTCAGCTTAACGGCGCGCCACGACGTGCACACGGCGAGGCGGACACGGTCGCCGACGTTCATGAGCTTGGCGTAGACCAGGCTGAGAATATCGTCGGGGAGAATTGACCACCTCTCCGGCGCCACCGCCGTCAATGTCCGGTCCTCGATGCTGCCGCCGGCGGCTGGCTTGTGCGTCGGCTCCTCCTCCATCTTTGTGTCCGTGAGCGTGCGCCGGCACGATTGTAATAGTCGATCGTTTATTGTTCGGTCCACGAGACAAACCATATAAGCGGTCGGTGACAAACCTAACCGGACACGAGGATTGGGCTTTGATGGGCCTTGCGCTGGGCCCGGCCCGGCCCAGCTCGGCCCACTCCGCCCCTTCGTTTTTCTACTACTAGTCTCCATCTGGGGCGAAGGCGAGACCAGACCTCACCACCGCCGCCGCCGTCGCCTGCTCTCCCCGCTCGCGCCGCCCGCCCTAGAAAAGCCCGCGACTTTCTCGCCGCCGCCAACCCCCGCCGCCGCAGGGATGGCCGAGGACACGGAGACGAGGCCCGCGTCGGCGGGCGCGGAGGAGAGGGAGGAGGGGGAGATCGCGGACGACGGGGACGGCTCCTCCGCCGCGGCGGCGGGGCGCATCAGCGCCCACCCGCTGGAGAACGCCTGGACCTTCTGGTTCGACAACCCGCAGGGCAAGTCCCGGCAGGTGGCCTGGGGCAGCACCATCCACCCCATCCACACCTTCTCCACCGTCGAGGACTTCTGGGGGTAGCGCCTCCCTCCCTCCCCTCATCCCCAACCCGATCCCCCTCTCGTTTATGTGGGTCGATTGGATCCTCTCCCCTAAGATTGATTGGCGTCGTCGCGGTGGCTGGCTGGGTGAAATTTTGTTGCTTCGATGTGCTAGGTTTAGTTAGTGGATGCGATTGGGAATAGGCAGGTAGCCATTGATTTTGCGTTCCTCAGTTTGTTGCGGTCCATGTATGAGGGGCAGCGCCGTGGGTATATACTGGTTATATGAGGCCCGGGTTTCCTTGTAGTAGGTTGCAAGTGAAATCGTCGTGCCGTTTTGTCCGGTGCGCGCGCCTGGGTCTGAGATTAGGAGGCTTATATAACAGCTTATGTCACGTGATAGCAAGTACCGCGTGTTTCATAGGCAGTAAGTGGACACGCCGTGTTCTGATTGATGCATATCTGCAAGCTTGCTACTTGTTGATGCCTAATAGTAATTCATACTGTATTCATTCATACTCTTACCATGATTATTTGATGGACACGTCGTTGTAGTTCGTCTATTATTAGGCTTTGGTAGGTGACTAGATATTCTTATCATTAGAATTTGTGATGCATCCAAATGTATCTCTTTGTGCTTCTGTTAACCAATAATGCCGCTATTAATTTCTTGACTGATCACTCAATCACACATATGGTTGAAAAAATCTATTTCGTCATTTTCTTATTTCTCTTGTGCTTTCTATTTTATGAACTTTTCTAGCATCTATGGAAATGTTTTATCTTGATGGAAATGTTGGAAGATTTTTCTGAAATACTTGATATCGAAATTCGAGATTACGTTTCTTTTCCGGTTGTTTAGATTCAACAGCAAGCTTCGGTTTTAAGAATGATCATTCTATATGTGTAAATTAGTTGTCTTGAATTAGCCTATTGCTTCTAACAATGAAGGATATCCGAAGACTGTAAGTTAGATTCCCTGCAAGACATTCATCTTAAGTTGACGCAAGACGCACTCATAAATTGTTTCTAGATATTTATGTTAGACTTTAGGAGGAACCAGTGTTACATACAGCTAAGATTACTAGAATACTCAATGTTCTATTGTAGTCTTGAGAATTTCTGAAGGTTAAGTTTGTGTAATATGGTACTCGTACTTGACACCTATAATCTAGTTTATATTAACTAAAAATACACTTATGTTTATGGATCTAGTTCAGAAATTTTCAGCCACCTGCAAGCATGCCATGTTCACAGATTCGAGATAGTCCATTAAGCTGCTGAATAGTGTGCATTGCGTGACACTGTAGCTTGTCTTCAGGATGATTTCTTTCGTGCAACTAGCTTGCTTCAGAAATTTGATTATGTCTGTTGATAATTTAATTTGCATTTTCATTTGTTTTGAGCTTTTGATATTATCTGTTGATATATTCCTTTTGTGTCTAACAAGTTGAGTGTTATTTCAGCCTTTACAACAATATCCATAACCCTAGCAAGTTGAATGTGGGAGCCGACTTCCACTGCTTCAAGAATAAGATTGAGCCTAAATGGGAAGACCCCATTTGTGCCAATGGCGGTAAATGGACCATCAGTTGTGGCAGAGGGAAATCTGACACATTCTGGTTGCATACTGTAAGGATCTTTTGCATCGTTTTTGTTGCAGAATTATCTTTTCTGTAACTTCCACCCTAATTCCCTTTTCACAAATATTATGTTTAGTTGCTGGCAATGATTGGTGAACAATTCGACTTTGGTGACGAAATTTGTGGAGCAGTCGTTAGCGTGCGTCAGAAACAGGAAAGAGTAGCTATCTGGACTAAGAATGCTGCCAATGAAGCTGCTCAGGTATGTATTATAAAATGCATACTATAAAACTGTTCTTTGATTGCAGGCAACAGCCATGTAGTTTAAACTGTCTCAGATATAAGCATGCATAATATATTGTGACCTCCATATAAAGAGGATGACCTGACTGTGTAGCCCTTTACAGTGTGATTTTGCTAAATGTCAGTATGTATGTAATGCTCCCATTTTATAATTGAATTAACTTGTATTCCTGAAAGGATGTATGCAGTACACACCTTGAACAGCAGAACACTGTTGATGAAACTTGACCTGTTATCTTCTGGTTTACTGTGTTTCTATGTCTTCTTTCCCAAAATAAGTTTGTATTACAAGAAAGTTTCACTATTTCAACCAAATATTCCAGCTGTGCTATGTAACTCCTAAGTTATTTTAACTCTTCTTGCAACATACGCTCATTTGTCTGTTATTCTCCGGCTATATTTTTGTGTCAACTTGTGTAAGCATTTAATTGTGTTAGCATTTATTGACAGTGTCCTCTGTAGCATCATAAAGTGTGATACATTTAGGAGAACTCCAGGCCCCGCTTGGATGGCTGTTTTTGCTTTCTGCGTGTATTAAGACAGTTGTATCTTACCGGCCACCAGTGAAATCCCACCGGAAAAAATACGGAGCCCTGGAGACGCTAATTTCTTACGGGTGTAAACGAAAGAACGATCATTTTGGGCTGCACCTAAAGGACCAACCAAGTGTGTTTTTCCAGCTGGAGGGGAAAAACAATTCGTAGCCGTATTTTATGCTGGGTTTGCCCTAGAAAACGGCCATCCAAGCGGGCCCATTGGATGGCAAGACATGTTTATTTGAAGCTCCATTGATAAATGTTCTTAACCCCCCAACATAGTTCTATTTATTTTCTCTGATATGCACTCGTTCATTATCATTATGCTAAATACTCCCACGTCATTCTAAATCAATCATCAGAGGGTACCTGAGTAAATTCTATCACCTATCTCTGCGAAGTACAAATAGGTGAGGGAGTACTATTAACGGTTTTGTTTTCTGAGCTGCCGTGGATACATGAGCATATGTACTGTCTAGTTTCTGTTTGTATCATTTCCAGCCAATCAGCGTTTATTAGTTTCTGAGCACATTCCTTATTTTATTTACCAGATAAGCATTGGCAAGCAGTGGAAGGAGTTTCTGGACTACAGGGACTCCATTGGGTTCATTGTTCATGTGAGTCGCTTGCACCTAAGCCTGGATTGCATTGTGTCTTTGCTGTCACCGTCTGACATCGCCTCTTTCTGCTTGCTTGCAGGAGGATGCAAAGAGGTCTGACAAAGGCCCCAAGAACCGCTACACCGTTTGATCCCGCGACTCGTCGATCCTGAGAGCTTCCACAGCAGGCCTGCCTACTCTTGGACGCAAGAAGGTTTCTCCTGGAATAGCTTAGCTTGTAGCGGGCGGATGCTGTTTTCTGAAGGATTTATTATGTGTGTTTGCTGTGAACTGCTTGGAAGACATAATCTAACATCGTTGCGTTTGCCGTCGTCGTACTCCATAAGTCACATCTTAATTTATGAAGAGTTATATTTTGTGAGAAGCGATAACTCGTTTGAGCTGCAGTGTTTACACTACTGCTTTGTCCATCTTGAACGTGAGATGGTTTCAGTGCTGAAGATTGCTCAATTATTTGTCATTCTAAACTTGGAAGTCATGGTTGGAATTACAAAGGATCAGTTCACACTTCCTCTGTTCGGAATTACTTGTCGGAGAAATGAATGTATTAGACATATTGTAGTATAAGGTGTAACAGTTTTTCACCTAGTTCTTCTAAAAGGATATCAACATCTAAGTATTCTTATATTTTATTTTATTTGTATCGTAGATGTTGATATTTTTTTCTATAATCCTGATCAAACATACACAAGTTTGACTTGCATGGAAATTGATACACTTTATATTTTGGAATGGAGAGAGTATGTCACAAGAAATTAGAGAAAATTTACTGCTTCTGTGGCAAGAAAACAGCACAAATGAAGTGTCACGAAACTCTGGGATTGCCGTGCCTTAGATAGAACCACAGTAGATAAAACACCAAATACAGTAAAGTTCACAACAATGTATATTTCTGTTTTCGCGGGCATCATAAACAACAGGGTGTTCATCTGAACTGTTATTGGTAAAAGTGTAAATGGTCAGCCATATGGTGTCATATCATACAAGGTTCTCAGCGGCGGCATAGTACCAAACTAAGATAACTAAAGATTTCTCCCATGCGAAAACGACACATGATGCGCCTAGTTACAGTTCCATATGGCCTTGCCGCGGATTCTGCTTCCCACGGCGATCCTACTACTCAAGCCGCTCCATCTGCCAAATGAACAAAACAAAAGTTAGCAAAGTAGCATATGTGTTATGTTTCAAACTGAATCTCTGCTCTTTCTCTGCTCCCCAAGGAGTGAGCTTGCTGCGGCAATCATGAACATATTGCAAGGGTAAAAAGGGCTGGCAATCACCATCTGGTACTAATTGTCACAAATCTGGCAAAGCCACTTGATATGCGCTTCAGTTACAGCAACTAGTCCCTCCGTTTCTAAATATAAGCCCTTCTAGAGATTTCAACATGGACTACATACAGATGTATATAGACATATTTTAGAGTGTAACTCATTTTGCTCCATATGTAGTCCGTATTGGAATCTCTGAAAGGGCTTATATTTTAGGAATGGAGGGAGTATTTCATAAGGTAGAGGGAAAAGCAGAGAGTACCTTCCACAGGCCATCATTTAAATAGTGCATGTTGTCAACTCCAATTCCTTTGTTGATGGTGCTTCTGCAAAAGCTCAGGATTTAGGAGCAGCATTATCCACAGCCAAATGCAAGACGTGGTACTAGCAAAGAATGTATGGGATGTAATATTCAGGAAGGATTAAGTTTATCAGTACATCTGCATAAGGTTCTGCTTTGTTGAGATTTAATTTGCAGGTACTATCACATAGTATTAAGATGTAAAGTAAGGAATACCAAAGGAGACCACCACAAATGTATTTTTTTTTAACATTTGGAAACATTAGGACCGAACCTGACTGAAACGTCAAAAAAGATGGAAAAATAAACCATGAGCGCAAGGTTCATGCTTCACAAGTACTCCCTCCGTCCGGAAATACTTGTCGTAGAAATTGATGAAAATGGATGCATCTAGAACAAAAATTACATCTAGATACATCCATCTCCCCGACAAGTATTTCCGGACGGAGGGAGTATAATTTAGAGACTCTAGAGACTCCGAAGCACCACTAGTGATTAATAATTCAAAAAGGAGCTTACATGTCTTTCGCTGACATCTTTGTGAATCCAATCGCCAATGCGTGTTGCTTGCCTTCAGCCATTATAGCCTGAAAATTATAGTTTTGAAGAGACAAATAATTAGTCTGGTGGTTGGCATGCTCAGGAGGCTTTTTCATCATTTTAAAGTGTATTAGGATGCATAGTAACCAATATCAAATAATTACAATACTAAGAACTAGTGAAGTGCACTAATCTGCAGACAGCTAAATTTAACTCATGTGAAAATAATAGAAACAAAGACACTAAAATATAGCAATGTTATGTTGCTAGATATGACAGTCTACTGAAGCAGACGAGATTCCATTCGTACTGTATCTATAAATGGATGAACTGGAATTTAAAAGATTAGTCTTGTACCACTGGCGTTTCCTCCTCGACTTCATTGTCCAACACACCACCAGGCGATGTCAGTCCAGGGCACATTATGTTGGCACCAGAGAGAACAAACTTGATAGCACCTCTGTCCACTTGGAACTTCTTCATGATGTTAGGATCTGATCAAATGTTAGCATAAATTAGCAAAACAAAGGGGGTATTTTGGAATGCAGATTTTTCGCAACTGGCTATCCCTGCACCCCATGCTGAAAATATTCATCTTGAAGTTCAAAAAAAAAAAGGCTTTCGCAAAAAAAAAGTTATGAAAAAATGGAAACAAAACAGGGACATACATATACATGTTATAACATGAACGCTTGCTTGTGAAAATTTGTGCGCAAATATGGCTTACTATGTGCTATTCAGAGAAGACAAGAAACAGGCGAATAGTTTACAAATTATCCACACAAATTTGTATTGTTGCTCGGTTCACAAATGGTCACACTATTGTCTGATCCTTTTGTAAATGCCCATATTATAGCTGTCCATCTATGATATGTTCTGAAAATGGAAAAATTTGACAAGGGTTGCACCCGCAGCTAGTTGCACATTTTGGTTTCTCGACATTTTGATGTTTTGCATTTACAAATAACTCATATAATTTCCATTCTGTTTGACATTCTTCAAAAGGTAAATGTTAAGAGTGCTGGTGCTCCAATTCTCTAACAGATAGGCAAGCCCAAAAGCGCAGCCCGGTGCATGTAGCTCCCGCTTGCGCAGGGTCCGGGGAAGGGTCCAAACATATATATAAAAAAAAGAAGCAAATTCCATAGATAATGATGTACATCACAGGGGAGAAACAACAGATGTAGCGATGGCATGCCAGAAAAAAATTGAGTGAAGAAAATTACACTGATGAAGAAGGCGCAGGGTTGGCATGTATGGGCCATCGCGGATGTTGAAGAAGAGTGGGACATTGTTCACCACCACAAGATTGAGATGATTTTGGCTAGGGAAAGAAACGATATGCATTAGTGCTTCGGAAAGGCCACAACTTGCAACTAAAAGTCTTTGCTCATCAATCTAATTTGCCAGCAATTAACTTTAGATATTCTGGCTTTTAGAAGTAGAAAGAACTGGGAAACAGCCAATGCAACTCTCAGCATGTCAGAAGCATGGCACAAACATAAAGGCAGGCTATTAAGCAATAAGCATGCTAACCAATAAATAAAGGTTGTTCAACAGACTATCAAGCAAGCTGAATCAGAAAGATGGGGAACCACTGACCATTTAACAACAATCATCGGCGACTTCTTCGGAAGCATGTCCTCCAGCAGAGGTTCGAGGAGAGGGTACTGCAACGAACAAACTTGCTAACTTCAGTATAGCTGAAGAGAAGAAGATAGCAGGGTCCGCAGCTGAAACAACAGATAGTAAATAGAGAGGGCTATGCGGATTATTTTTTTGACATAACCTCCTCGGCGATGCTTTGCCGGATCCTCCGCTGCACCGACGCCTTGACCTGATTCTGCCCGGATATGTCCTCGGAGGAGAACCTAGGGAGAAAAAAAAAAGATGCAGTTTTTGTCATGGTAAAATAAAGTGCTTGACAAGGCACAAAAATCCTCCTGTATGGGATGCAATGGGGATTAGTGATGGCCACACCTGGGCCATCAAAAACCATCTGTGACCGTGATGCTGTCTACAATCAATCACAAGGCATGGAGAGGAGTACAGAGGTTGACACCATGCCAATTTGGTCAGCTGAAACGAGTTGCTTGTAAAGCCAATCGAGAGACTAGTGCTTCCGAGCCTGTGATTCGGAACGCGCCCCTCCCTCCCTCCTCTCTAGCTCTCTCCCACGACGGCAATGGCGCCTCTGAATCCAGTCCTACTTACGCGCTACTCGTCTACTTGGCTGCTGTTTGGACGGAGAAGGGATGGGAGGGGGGGTACTCACTTCTTGAACATGGTGAGCGGCGGTCGGGGGCTCGGGGCGGCGCGGCGACAGGGGGTTGGGGAAGCGGCAGATCGACGCGGAGGGGCGGCGGCGGCGGGCGGCTCGATCTGGAGAAGGGGAGAGAGAGGTCGGCAGAGGAGAGAGGGTTCCGGCGTGGGCCCCGCCCGGGTGAGATGTGGGAGGTTACGCGGTGGGCCCACATGTCAGCGCGCAGTTGTTCTGGTTTTTCTCCCGGTTCTGTTCTTTGGGCTTTCAGCTTGCTTCTTCGGTTTTTCTGCGTGTCTTCCTCGGTTTTTATTTTTTATTTTTTATTTTATTATTCGTATTTGGTTTTTTCGTTTCTTTCTTTAGTACGTACTCCCTCTGTAAACTAATATAAGAGCGCGATCTGCTTTCTTTTCCTTTGGTGGTCGCTTTGGTGGTGTCGGAGGAGAGGAACAGGCGCTGGTATTATGCATAGGATTATCCTATCTTTTCAGTACTGTAATGTCGGTGCTTACGTGCCTTGTAACTGAATCTTTATTTTATAAATGAGACACGTATTACCATGCAAAAAATAAATAATACGCTCTTATTTTGGTTTTTGGAGGTAGTACAGTGTTTTTCGTATTCGATTTTATTTTCGGGTTTTCTTGTACAATGTTATTTTTTCATTTTCTTTCAATGCCTGTCTAGATTTCTCTACAGACATCGTATCTTTTTTTATATATGCCCAACATTTTTAGAGACAATTTTTTTAACTTAGAATTTTTTTAATACATATATTTAGCATTTTTCCTACATACTCCCTCTGTAAACTAATATAAGAGCGTTTAGATCATTATTTTAGTATTCTAAACGCTTTTATATTAGTTTACACAGTGGGAGTGCATGTAAAAAAAGTCGAATACACAATGAACATTCATTTAATTGCACAAAACATTTTTTTAAACTATGCAGATATTATTTTTTTTCATTGTACAATACGTTTTTAAAAATGCCACGAACACTATTTGGAAACACGTGAACATTTCTTTAGAATGCCTAGCTCGTACATTTTTATGAATGAAATAGAGAAACCTTTTAATCATGCGAACATTTGTTTTTACATCATATAAAAAAATTCAAAAAATGTCATGAAACACTTTTTTGAAAACGTGTAAACATTTTCAAAATGTTAGAATTTTTATTTGATGCTGTCAACATTCTCAAAAAGCGCTCCTCCCACGTTGGGCCTGCCCATTTAGGGTGTCCTTTGGGCGAGGGCATAACTCCATATGCGAGAGTTGGCAGCGCCCTCGACTGACGGGTGCATGTTTGTTTCCAATGGTGTTTTTCCTTTAAAAGCCCCAAGACTCTAGTAAAATCCGCCCTTACAAAAACTTCCCTATAACAATAAGAGATTATAGAAAAGTCTCTGTAATAATCAGCACGATGTTTCTTCTACGTTCACCGACGGTGCGATGCGTTGTGAGCAAAATTCGTTGTCACCTCTTCTAGGCTTCACTCTCACTAGAGCAACCTTGTTGAAATTCAGGAGGTTGTACAAAGACTGGTATGGATCGAGAGCACGGGAGCTCGGTTAAGGTCGATGCGGTGGATGAATTTTTCCGCTGAGATGTGTTCGTGTGAGGAAGAAGACGCTAGAAGGGAGTGGATAAGGGAGGGGAAGGAATAAAAAGCAGAAGGGTTGGGAGTGCATGACGGGTAGCAGGGGAGCGTGGCCCCACATACTTGCATCGCCAGCGAGGTGACCGACCCAATTCTTAGTCGGCTGGCCGACACGAATCATTAGCCTTTTGACTAGTAGAGCGCCCGTGCGTTGCTACGGGTTGCAATACATATAAATGATCAAAGAAATGATTAAGGGCACATACAATGGTTGATATCACAATCTTAATCATGCCACACAACCTATAGATGACAAAAATAATAATGTACAATGGGTAGTCTCTTAATCGTATCTTTATTGTCACAAATGAGGTGAGAGATTTGTTGCTAAGAGATCATCTCTTAAATAAGAGATGGCAAAGCTTTTTCTTTAGTTTCTCTTTCCTCCACCTCAACATTTATCCTATGTGGCACTGTAAAGATAACACCATTATACGTGCCCTAAGTTCATCTCCAATGTCAAAACTCATTTCTCTGTTCAGATTAATGTAGACCTGCAGTCACATGTTAGCTAAGCTTACATGCGCTAAGTACTTGCAGATTGTAAAAGGTGCCCAAATAGCAAGGAATCGGATTAGAAAAGCTACCGTTTTAAAAGAACAAAACATGTATGTCATCTGACCCCTGGTGGATATTGCAATAGGATGATAAAATCAAGACAATGTCTACAATTCTTGAGAACAAATGAAACAACACAAAATGCAAAACTTATTGTGGATATTTAGAAAAAGTAAAAGAAACCTCTAACGTGCATGCATGGGAGCCAGGCACGCCATACAACTGTTGGCAAGATTTGGTAAGTGCACTTTCTGTGGCTCCCGCCTGACATGACCAGCAGTATCTGCGTGTCTAGACGACAGCTGCGGTTGCGCCAACAAACCCTGGAAGATTTGGAGGAAAATGGCAAGGCAGGGCAGGAGCATCGCCTAAGCGGGAGGATCATCTCGGTGGCAATGAGTCGTTGTAGCGCCCTGTACCCGGTTGTGTCTCCTCCGCAACTTCACATCATTCAGGAACAACATCGCTATTGCATCCAGCAATGGGAGGTTCTGCACGGGTGACAGCGATGATGCCCATGGCAAGGATTGCACCCTCAGTGCAAAGTGGCGGGAAGGTGAGGTTAAGCACAACAACATGCATGGATTCCTTGAAAAATGATTCGGCCAATAACCACTGAATCAATAAATATGCAGTGTTGATTATCTATTACTTTGGGCAAATAAATAGTGACCAAAAATAGATAAGAGTTCCATCGCTTACTGAAATGGTAATTTACTCAAATGCATTTTCATATGGTAGCAAGTAACCAAAATCAAGAAACAACACCGTTCCTAAAAGAACACATTGTATGTTCATTTTCTTGCTCCAGTGGACCAGCCCGCATAATTTCTTCTTGGGATCCTTCTTGAAAACATGAGCTAAACTTATGCTTCTCAAGGTGAAGAGAAGACAAGATTGAATACAACTTCGACCAGAAGATGGAACGGTTAGGGAAGAACACGACGTCGGGTGGTTGGTAAGGGTGACGGTTGGGAAGGTCTTACCAGACGTAGGCATGGTCCTGGACAACTGCCAATGAAAAGGATTCTATCAAATGACCAGATCATAAGACTGGAAAAAGGTAAATTATAGAAATTAAGACACTTGATGAACCTGGAATCAACCTTGTTTTGCAATGTCTTTCATCATTTCCAGCTATCCATGTTGCCCATTTAAAAGAATAACCTCCATGGAATCTGAACACCGGGGATCCATTTTTTTTTTTTTGCTATTGGTCAATCATCTAATTAGTAATACATGTAATTTATTTTGACCCAACCCTTTTGTCACCCTCTACACAAACTTCTTACCAGAACGGTTTCAGTTATTCACATAAATCTCAACAATTGCTCCGACTTGTCGTCCAGCAGCAATGCAACATAAAACCTATGATAGTCCTTTCTGCGGGGAGGATAGTCCAGTATTCCTTGAACAAATCATACGTGATACATTTGATGGTCCTTATGCTCATATTGTTGTTGCCTTGGAAATTAGCATCCAGTGCACCAATTTAGTGGATCCGCTAGTCTGCGGAGCGATTCAGTTTGGCTATCTAGAAGATGATATAGAAACAAAGTCTCAAAAGCCAATCCATTAAACAATTAATTTTAAAATCTTCGCAATGCTCTAAACCGACAGAAGTATGAAAATATCAAAGAAATATTATCTAACTACAAAATATTATCTATCAAACGAAAATATTAACTATCTTTGAATCTTTCAAATGATAATGTACGTACAACAATTCCTATTAGAAAACATCCTACAACATTACTGATATTATTATTTCAGAATACCCCAAGACAATCCTTAACTCATTATGAAGATTATCGCCAGACATTCCAGATATTATTATGTCACTTTTATATACTAAAAGATAGTTCCAAGAAATCAGAAGATGTTTTTTTCTTCAACAACCGTAGTAAGACAAAACATATTTTGGCATGGTACTTTTATTTACCAAAGACCTAAAATACTCCGGTACTTTTGTCGGTTTCATCTGGATATTACCTAAAAGAATACACATATTTAACATATATGGCCTCATATTTGTGCAGAATCGTTCAACAAAATGGTGTTTGAAGAAAGAAAGAACGTCTGATCACAATCATGCCTCAACAGCAGAAATCACACGATGGAAGACAAAGAGCTACACACACGTTTTCTTTCTTTCTTTGGCCTTTTATTTACCCATATGCCAAGAACGTACCCAATGACACATGTGCATCCATTGCTGGACTTAGGAGCATCATGCCACACTGGACAAGCCTTGAAACCCAGAGTAACCGTCAGAATTGGGAAGACAACTACCTACGTCCCTTGCCTATATGTAGACCGAGGAGTTAATCCATCAGTCCAGCTTATGTAGACTTTTATCCGCTGGAACATGGTTTCCTTCAATTCTTACTTGCACTTATGATATCTTTTAAGATACAAAACTT